CACTTTACAATAAACTACTACTAAGCAGTTCCTGCGAGACTTGTTGGAAGAAAAACAAAAAAACGACTCTCTGCTTGTGAAACGTGTATACGTTCTGATAAATAAAAAAAGAAACAAATAACTGATTTTAAATTAGAAAACAAGTATTTTAAAAAAAGGAAAATTAGAAATGCCCCAAAAAAAGAAGCGAACGTTTTTTTGTTTTTTTTTTACCTTTGTCGGGAAGCGAGACACGTAGTCGCAGGCTCGTAGCCATGACCTCGGTACCTACAGGGGTTTCTCCCAGTATCTTCTGCGAAGTGGTGAGAGCGAAGCCCTTGTAGGAGCACCTTTGTGTGTCGCGGAATGAGGGGTTGGAGAGATACCCTCCACTTGATTGCTATACTGAAGTACAAAAATGGAAGCACGATTACAGCGGGCGATTAGATTGGGCGATTGGCGCACCTGCGCAAGCTCCAGTCGGGCGATGCAAGCATGTTTTGTCGCCGTCGACCAGTCACCGTCGAAATTCCTCCTCGGGAGCCTGTCGCCTATAATATGCCGAAGCTTGAACGCCAAACAAAACATTTAGAAGGGGTGACAAATATTAAACAGCGCACAAAAAGTCGGCGGAAGAGAAAAGTACAGTAGAACAAAAGAGCCAAATGTGAGGACCGGTAGGCAGATAAAAAAAATTGGGTTGTGTGTGTGTTTATACAGCCTAGAACTTGGTCTGCCTCACAGGGGCGACGAGTCTCCCAGCTGTAGATGAGCAATTTAGCCAGTGCAGTACAACCGCTAGCCTGGGGTCTTTAACGTGAATCACGCAGTAGTGATACACGACCGCACGCCGGTAGGATGCTCATCCAGATCGAAACGGGCAGGGGTGGGGCTCGAACCCAGGATCCCTGGGTTCTGCAACGCGAGCTTTCGCTCCACGTGCTCCGAGCTGGTGTGCGCTAGACCACTCGGCCACCGATCTTTTTTTTTTTTTTTCTTTATTGCATGGTAGGTACAAAAACATTCATGTCATTCTAACAGCACTGCACAGCTTTTTTGCACAGCGTATTAAAAATCACGCATTTCGAGGAGTGATTTTAAATAAAAAAAATAAAAAGTCCACTCCGGCTCAGGTTCACAGTTCAAATACACGCTCTGTACTTGTTTTACAAGGTTGAAGAAATATATCCGCACTTCTTTTGCGTCGAGGTCAGCATGTCGAACAGCCATACGTGATCTCCAAATGCTGCACAAAGCTAACAACATAATCATGTCATAAGGGACTTCATTATCATTATCCACTCTAAGGAAACGTATCCCTGTTGGGGTAACAGGTAATTCTTTCTTTAGAGTGCGTTGGAGGACATCCCAGAAAAATACCGCGTCCCAACAAAAAATAAACACATGTTCAATAGTCTCAGGTTTTTTACATAGAAGGCAATTTACCGACCATGGCACATAGATCCCTCTTTCTTTAAGCCAAACCTTAACTGGCAAGGTATTCGTGTGTAATTTATAAAAGAAAGTCTTAACAGCCGCGGGAACACACATCCTTTTTACAAGTCTAAGCACATCGTGGCCATGTTGGGACACACCTCGATACAAGGGCATAGGGAAAACACTCACAACTAAATCGCGATAGAGCGCTTTTTTACTGACATCACAAAGGTAATTCAAAGAAAAACGTGCTGTCAGAAACCCCATCGTGTCAACAACTTCTTTCAAAAAACCAGTGATTCTTGTTGGCTCGCCGCCATGAGAAGAAACAAGAAAAGATGGCAAATGTGGTGACACTTTTGTTTGAATCAGTGTGCGAATGAACGGGTGTTCTTGGTCTCTCAAAAAAAAGAAGCGCGACACAAGTTGCTTGACAAAAAGGTGGGAAAGCCCCACGCCACCGTTACAAACTCGATGAAAAAGATTGTCTCGTCTCATCGGCTCATACTTCGAGTTCCAAATAAACGCGGCGAAAATTTGATGAAATTTTTGAACATTGGTTCGCGCACAATGGATGACCTGAAGAACATACCAGAGCTTCGCAATCAGAAAAACGTTACAAACAGTCGCTCGGGCAAAAATGGACAGCTCGCGTTGCTTCCAACGAGAAGCACGCCTGTCCAGGTCGGTAGCGACACCCGACCAGTACGTTTGGCTATTCCGGAAACTTTGCAATGGCACCCCGAGGTACCTGCACGGCACTGTGTCCCAGCATACACCCTCAAATTCTGAGGGTGTAGTGGCCCAAGCACCATGCCAGAAACCACGGCACTTTTCCCAGTTTATAACAGCACCAGTAGCGTGGCAAAACCTTTTAGCCAAAGTTATGACTTCGGTAACGCTTTCTTTGTCCCTACAAAAAACAGCAATGTCATCGGCGTAACTCATTATTTTTACTTCTGCATTATAAAATTGGAAACCTCGGACGCGTTGACTATTTTTTACGCTTAAACAGAAAAGCTCTAAATACAAATCAAACAAAAGGGGAGACATAGGGCAACCTTGTCGTACCGACTCTCGTACGTTAATAACAGAACTGAGCTCTTTGTTCACTATAAGCCTTGTTGTACAGTCCTTATAGGCCATCTTTACACCTTTTAGGATGGCGTCACCAACATTGACATGACTCAAAACATCAAAGAGTACATCATGGCTAACACGGTCGAATGCCTTATCTAGATCTATCTGTAGCACTGCAACCTGCGTGGTGCTGTCACTGCAGGCCTCCAGGACGCTACGAGCCACATGCACATTTGTCAAGATAGTCCTCCCCTGTATCCCACACGTTTGATGCTCGCTTATTATCTCACATGCGACACCTTGAAGACGACGCGCCAGAATTTTCGCGAAGATCTTGTAATCGGTATTGCATAGCGTTATTGGGCGATAACCGGTGACGCTGCGCAGTTTCACGGGGTCATCAGATTTCGGTATCAGGACAGTGTAGGCACGAGAAAACGAAAAGGGCAAACATTCTCTTTCGTAGGCAGTATGTATGACGTTCAAAAAAACACTAGCTATTAGGCTCTTAAAGTTCTTGTAAAATTCTGCGCCCAATCCATCCGGTCCCGGCGTCTTAGAGTTCGGCAGGTCGTCGATTGCGCGCTCTACTTCTTGGATCGTAATTTCTTGCTCAAGCTCTTCGCGTTCATCATTCGATAGCCTTGGCAGTTTTTCTAAAAGCTGGGCATAAATGTCCATATGACACCCTTGCGTTTTGTTAGCAAAAAGCTGTGCGTAATGCTCGAGGAAGGCCTGTGCTATTTTCTCGGGATCCGTAGTAATCATTTGCTTGAATTCAATTTCGGCTATTTCGTTCCGAAGTGCGTAACGCTTCTCGTCTGCCAAGGCACGCTTAGTGGGCTGCTCGCCCATTGTGTATTTTTCTGCACGGGCGCGCACTACTGCACCACGATAGCGCTCGCGGTGGAGCTGATCTAATTTTTCTCTGACATACTCGACGTCTTTTACCCCATTACCGGGTCTTTCGCACTCTGCTTTACATAGCTCTATCAAGTCCTTGTTTAAACTGCGTTCCTCACACCGGGCGTTGTACGAAAGAATTGATGACCTCTCAATGGCGATTGCCTTAATTTCTTGTTTTGCCAGTTCCCATTTCTCGAAAATGTCCACTCCCGGCTCTTTAAAAGCATCTTTCAAAAACTGTTCTACATTTTTTAGAAAGACGTTGTCTTTCAGAAGCTTTATGTTTAGTTTCCATAAGTTCCAATTAAACTTTTTCTTTTCAGGTGCTCTGTCGCCTATCGTCGCGATAACCAGACTGTGGTCTGAGAAAAAGACTGGAGTGACACGGCACTTTCCTAAATGTTCTGCTAGAGGGGCAGAAACATACACCCTGTCCAAACGCGCACTGGACGACGCTTGAAAATGGGTAAAGCGCTTTTATCAAGGGGCTTTAGCGCGCACTACTGCACCACGATAGCGCTCGCGGTGGAGCTGATCTAATTTTTCTCTGACATACTCGACGTCTTTTACCCCATTACCGGGTCTTTCGCACTCTGCTTTACATAGCTCTATCAAGTCCTTGTTTAAACTGCGTTCCTCACACCGGGCGTTGTACGAAAGAATTGATGACCTCTCAATGGCGATTGCCTTAATTTCTTGTTTTGCCAGTTCCCATTTCTCGAAAATGTCCACTCCCGGCTCTTTAAAAGCATCTTTCAAAAACTGTTCTACATTTTTTAGAAAGACGTTGTCTTTCAGAAGCTTTATGTTTAGTTTCCATAAGTTCCAATTAAACTTTTTCTTTTCAGGTGCTCTGTCGCCTATCGTCGCGATAACCAGACTGTGGTCTGAGAAAAAGACTGGAGTGACACGGCACTTTCCTAAATGTTCTGCTAGAGGGGCAGAAACATACACCCTGTCCAAACGCGCACTGGACGACGCTTGAAAATGGGTAAAGCGCATTTCCTTCTTCGCGTTTTTTACAGTGCCCACATCAATCAGGTCATAATCCTCCAACATTTCGCCCAAAAGTAGTTCACTCTTATCAGTGTTCCGTCTTATTGGCGATCTATCCAACTGTCGTACAACACAATTAAAGTCACCCACAAGGACTAGAGCTCTATCGCAATCAAGATACCGACGTAAACCGCCAAAAAATAAAACGCGGTCAGTGGTCACATTTGGGGCGTAAATGCAAATAAGCCTGAATTGATTTGACGTTAGCACAAAATCACACATAATGAAACGTCCTTCAGTGTCCGTTGTAACGCATAACTGCGACAACGGTACCGACTTTTTCAGAAGCAGGAAACACCCTGCCGAATGACCAACTGCATGCGTCACACAGATTTCGTAGTTAGGCATGAAAGGTCTGACTGCTTCCTCTACCTGTTCCGCCTCAGCCAATTTAGTTTCTTGCAACGCCAAGAAATCGGGTTGCTCTTTCGACAATAATCGCTGTATTTGGTACTGCTTTTTTCTAGTGCATAAACCACGAACATTCAGCGTTGCAACTGTAATGGCTGATTGGGACTCACAAATCATGTGCTCTGCTTCGGTGCAGACACTAAAAACCTAAGCAGTCAGGGTCCAAGTTGTCTTGATGCAGCAATCTTAAACACCAGGAAACCAGGCAAAGAACGCCTTACTTGCTTTCCCTGCGCCGACGTTCCTCTTTAGGATCGTTGGGCGCGGGCTGGTAACGCCCCTTCTTCGTGCGTTCCATCCAGGGGTGTAGTTGGCGTGCTCCGTTTCCTGCTGCCGTATCGTCATCGAAGGCTCGCTTAGTTGACTCGCTGGTGTCGTCCATATCTGAAGGTCCGTTGGTGCTTGCGTCGTTCGATTCCTTGTCTGTTCCGGCATCAGAGGGTTTCACGTCGGCACCGCTGGGAGGTGCGCCTTCCGGTTGACCTCCGTTCTCTCTCGCTGCCCCCAAGGAGCTGCTTCCTTCACTCTTGCGTTCTTTGGCAGGGGTTGAAACTTCTGGCGCCAAGCCCTGGATAGTACGCTCCGCTTCCTCGGCATCCATGGCGTGGTCATTGGTCTCGGCCTCGGCCGTCCCGGCCCCGCTGGCCACCCTGGCGTACGACCTGACACATTCGGTGCCATAATGCCCGAAGCGAAAACACTCCGAGCACTTCGGCGCCCTGCATTCTCGTCGAATATGACCTGTGCGCTTACAGCGTAAGCACAAGGGCGCCCGACCAGGGATCACAACAAGTACGTTACCACCTTGGATCCGAAGCTGGTGTGGCATGGTATCGGCCGTGCCGCCTTCGTTCAGTGTCATCCGCGCACACCTTGTCGTTGATTCGATCCCTTGGAAGCCTTCAACATTCCACTTCTCCCGGCTCACTTCCAGGACCTTGCCATACGGCTCCAATTCCTTACGCACAACGTCGTCCGGCACATCATACGGGATCCAGTATAGACGAAGCCGTACCTCCGTGATGCTGGGATCCACGACGAGGCACCGAAGACCCTTCACCTGCAGTTCTTTGGCGTCCACGAGTCGTCTCTTTGCTTCTGCCGTTCGAAGGGTAGCCATCCAAACATGATTCATTTGGTACGCACCAAGTGCTGCGATGTCGCCGAGTACGCCGCACCTGGCCATCTCTTGTCGAAAATCCTGGATACGGTAGGGGCGCCCTTTCAAATCGCAATGCAGAAGCACCGATGTTTCACTCGTAATTCCTGTAGGCATCTGTGGTAAAACAATTTTATAGTCATCGTTCGTCGATTCACCGGAGTGATTAGAACCGCGGCCAGCAAGGGCCGTTGCAGACGCTTCCACGGAGCTCATGTTTCGAACGTCTTCCGGCCACCGATCTTCCCTCGGCAGGCAGATAAAGAATGTAAAAAAGGTTTAATTAAGAAAGAAATGGGTTAGATGGTGGCATAACGCGCCGAGGCGATCAGCGCTCTTTCGCTCTACTGTCCTTTTCTCTTCCGCTGACTTTTTGTGCGCTGTTTAATATTAGTGATGTACCATCTAGCTCACATTACCACTTTATTACAATTTAGAAGGGGACTCGTTCTGTACCTTGAGTGGTACAGGAAGCTTCAGAACTGTGTTTTAGGTTCAGTCAATCAATCTGAATGTCTGATATGTCGCTTCACTATAAAAAAAAAATGCTGCTAACTTGTAATGAGCAGAACCTTGAGACACGGCACCTTACGCACGCAGACCCACACACGCGCGCGCGCAGACACGCAAACATAAAATGATGTACATACGCCCATACACGCGCACACACGCACATTCTGTCTCACACATACGTATCCCCACGCGCACAGAAACAGTCTGTCTAAGTCAGAGCACGAAAAAAACGCCTCAAACACTCGTCGTAAGTCGTATTGTTGTCCGCTTTCATTCCCGAAAATATGAGCAATTCCGGACCGTTATATATGGCTTTGCACAACTATCAAACCTAACTTTCGCAACCGAAAATTCAACTTGTGACGTCACGAATAAGAATCACAAGAGGGCGTCACCGAAACATGTTGTAATCAATGCATGACAACCAAACACAGGCGTAGTCCCTGAAAGCGCATGGTTACGGCGCTTTCACTGGGCTTCCGGTCCTGAACTAGACTCGGTTTCACTTGAAGTCCGACAACGCAATTACAGACCAATGGAGTCGATAAAGCAGCATCGAAAGTGCACCGTCACGGTGCTCATAGCATTTGGTGCGTTTGCTATTATCGACTTAACGAGAGGTCTCAGACTGATTTGAGTGTAAGGGTCGAGGATTGCCCACCCCGTGTCGAGGGCCTTCGTGCGGGGGGCTCGCCATTTTGCCATTGACGCCTTTCACTTTGATTTGTTCATGCGTCGACAAACCGAGGGAGAGGGGTATACGAGAGCGCGAGGGAACTTTAGATGGCCGAGCTCTGAATAGAATGATTAGCGGGTAGAGGTGAAGCTGTGCGGAGCGCAAGTTCGTCTGCTCCTTGCGCAGAGGTTGTGGTGACGTCAGAACGTCGAGCGTCTGTTTGGCTCCGATTGGAAGGATAGTGGGTAGACCTCAAAGGCAGCTAGCATTGATGTCTACCCGGAATCCTTCTAATCAGAGCCAATCAGAGCTCGGCGTTCTGACGTCACTGCAACCCCTGCGCAATAAGCAGACGAACGTGCGCTCCGCATAGCTGCCTTATTCTATCCACTCTTCGAACGCGAACGCGAAACGCTGAACTCCGGCTAATTGCAACTGAACGCGTTCGAAGTATGAGTGAAGGCAAATACAGCTAGCTTATACTCACTAATAATTCCAACCAGAGCTGGATGTTTTGACGTCCCTGCACGCTCTCGTCTCCACCTATCCCTCAGTTTCTCGTGGCATGGGACCTCTTCGGCCGTTATTTGGTGTGAAAATAAGTGAACATGGCACTGGGACGGTGCAATTTCAACAAAACAAGAGAGCAAGCAAGCTTTCGCTCCTGTTGCTCAATTCACCCGGGAGTTACGAGCTCTACATGTCCCCCAAATGCCCTTTAGTCCGACAATTCTTTCGTATACCTGACGATTTTTTATAACAGTAGTCTGAGAGACTACTCGTATATTAAAAGGGGTTACTTTCTGAGGCTAAAATTCCAGCCTTAGGAATTTTTAGAATAGGGGGCATCAATGTCAGGGGGCCCCTAAGAAATAGAGGCTCACTTCTGTGCATGCTCGGAACTCAAGTCATGCTTTGGGTGAGCGTTCGCCCTAATGCTCAACTCTCACCAGAGCGACAAACAAAAACAACCGACACCGACAAGCCTCAAACCCGTGCAGCATGCGAGCGATGGTACCCTTGCCAGGCTTTTAATGTCTTGGTGCTCACGATGTTTGCACGAGTGAATGCAAGCCTTCCAAAATACCTTCGTGTCAACGATTTCAGATCATATATACTTCGTTTCACATTATAGAGGTGGTGCAACGATATTCAATTGGAATGTTTTTTCACTTTACACGAGCTTACTGGCACTAGTGGGACTCAAGGATACTCACACGCAACGCCACTGGCCAAGAAACTCCTTTGTTGCAGTGTAATTTCGAGGACAAAACCGAGCGTTTTTATTCAATCTCTTTTTCGCAAAACCTGATGACGTAGCTAGTGACGATATTTGAATGTGGCTCATAGATTGGACCCGAGCATTGCGTGGCCACTCGATTTGGGCTCGTGATAATCTATAGCTGGAGAAGCATTCGAGTAGTGTCCTGTGTCCAATCGTTGCAATGACGGAAACAGCCGAACCATAACAATGTCTGGAACGCAGCGCGTGTCCTGTGCCTTGCCAACCCCAGCGCATGGCTATGATCAACATTGGCGGCATATAATCGGCTCCAGATCACGTGGCCGCTTGTTCTGGCTGCGAGTTGAGGGGGTGAACATTGCCCCTGTGAGGCAGACCAAGTTCTAGGCTGTATAAACATACCACACAACCCAATTTTTTTTTTTGCCAAGCATGCGCGCTTTTGCAGTGTAAGCACTGTTCAGGGCCACATGCTCGCGCTTGTAGCAACGGCAATCAGTTGGGAAAGAGCGCGGGCGCGCCATGGCAACGGAGCACGCCCCGCAGTAGCCGGCGTAGCGGTGACGCTGCGGGGCTACCGTTCCGCAGCGCCACTTGATGCCGCTCGATGTGTTTGCGTTTGTCTTGCAAGTAGCGCAAATGCACCACTGCACGAGGCTCGTGTCTCGAGTGGCCCTTGGAAGCAAATAGCGGCACAGCACTGAAAGGAGCGGCCCTTGGAAGCGAACGGCGGCGGAGCACCCGCTCGTGGAACGTGTCTTGCGCATTTCCACAACAATTACTGGCGGTACTCATAAAACGCGCCTTTGCAAGGGGCTAGCCTCCTGCTCCGAAAGACATTGGCACACAGCTAACTAAGCAGCCATAGGACTTTTAAAGCAAATAATTAACGCTGAACGAAGTGCCTTTTAAGAGAACGTGTGCACCAAAGCAAAAAGTAAAATTCTAGTATATTATACAATGTTTTCTCGCCAGGAAGTACACCTATCCATGGTTCGACCTGTTTTTTCTAAGGCACGCCTAAAAGCATCGGTCATAGAATGGAATTTTTTGCTCGCGCGTCCGGTTAGTAAACTAGGTCGCTGATAAGCTACGTTCGGCGTACCGCACTATCGTGTTTGATAGAATGTCCAGCGCAGCGCGATGCGCGAGGCGCGTGCTCTTTAATTCCTTTTCCTTTACAAGCTGTACATATATACAACGAGACTACAGCGCTATATAAGAGTCTGTGTCTCACATCTTCCCTTTTCTAAAAAGGAAGTCAGGTGGCGTAACGTTTTGGTCGAATAACACATCTTCCACTTGTCGTGTGTGTGTGGCTCGTGTCGGTACATGCAGGAACGAACAGAGGTACATTCGGTGTACTTTTTCGACGATGGGTGGTTTCGGCGGTCGCTTCAGGCATCGGGACTAAGTGTGTCCTGTTGCGGCGAACGGACGTATCGCCAGTGTCCACCCAGTATGATCTCGGCTCCTCAGCTGACCTGTGGACCGTGCCGAACTTCTCGAGGTCCACTACCCAGACGTCCGTGTCGACGTTCAAGTCAGGAAGATTTCGCACCCCATGGCGGGAATCAAACCAGAGTTTCTGCTTCTTCCTGCTTTCTTCTTCGTACGCCCTTAGTTTCTCTTTGTCTGGGAGACGAGGAAGCAGGCTGTTTGAAGAAGTTGGAAGAGTTGTTCTGATTCTTCTACCCATTAGTAACTCCGCAGGTGAGTAACCGTTCTTGAGGGGGCTCGCCCTGTAGGTAAGAAGGGTCTGGTACGGGTCTCCCGACTTTTTCAGGGATCCTTTGATTATTTTTACAGCAGCTTCTGCTAGACCGTTACTTTGTGGATAGTGGGGACTTGAAGTTGTGTGTCTAAACCCATATTCTTTCGCAAACAATGCGAACGATGAGTCGGGTCCTTTGGAAAACTGTGGTCCGTTGTCACTGATGACTACCTCCGGTATGCCGTGTCTTGCAAAGATGGACTTGCAGTGTGTGACGACAGCGTTGCCAGTCAAGCTAGTGAGCTTCACTAACTCGGGAAACCTCGAGTAGTAATCTGTGACAATCAGCCACCACGATCCTCCAAGAAAGAAAAGGTCCATGCCGACCTTTTGCCATGGTCTTTCTGGAAACTCCGTGGGCTTCATTGGCATTTTCCTGTTTCCTTTCTGTTGGAGGCAAGTCCGACATGACTTCACCGAATTCTCAATGTCAGCGTCGATTGTTGGCCACCAGACTGCGTTTCTTGCCCTCGCGCGGCATTTATCAATGCCAAAATGGCCTTCGTGCAGAATGCGAAGAGTTGCTTCCTGGAGCTTTTTCGGGATGATGATTCTGATGCCATGCATAAGGACGTCTTCGACTTCGGTGACATGGTCTTTATGCGGCCAGAACTCCTTTAGGCAA